AACGCTGAAGTCGTGGAGGCATGTCACCAATATGTTTTGTAGCAATGGCAATCAACAAACGATGGTCAGTTTCAATCACAATCTTGCATCCATAAACAAACTGGTGAAACTTTTCGCATCCGTAGATAATTGCCATCGGCTCTTTTTCGATGTGAGAGTATCTTTGTTCTGTATCGCTCGTAGCGCGAGATGCATAGGCAACTAGCCACCAAGCATCACCGTAACGCTGTAAAAGAGCTGCTCCTAGCCCGCATTTCGAAGCGTCTGCAGAGATTTCAGTTTCTCTAGACGCGTCAAAGATGGCGAGCAGTGGTGGTTTGATGAGATGCTCGCAAATAACTGCCCACTCACGCACATGGTTCTTTGACCATTCAAAAATGGTGTGTTTCTTTAAAAGGCTGCGCAGCAGGTTCATGTTATCGGCCAGGTTGGTTATGAATTTGCCAAAGTAATTAGCCACGCCTAGCATCCGATGTACGGCTGCCTTGTCGGCCTGGTGAGGTAAATCGCCCAGTAATGCGCTCAACAAAGGGTTTGGTTTTATTGCCTCTTCAGATATGACGTCCCCCAAGAAATGAATTTCAGTCAGCCCGAACTTGCATTTATCAGCATTGAACATCAAACCAGCCTGTCTGACTAATTGCAAAGCATGACGGAGGCACGCATCATGTTCATCTTTAGTAGTTCCATATATTAGGACATCGTCAACATACACGTGCACTCCTGCTACACGGTCAAAGATTTCGCTCATCGCCTTCTGGAAAACTTCTGGAGCGGAAGCTATACCGAATGAGAGCCTGAGAAAACGGTATCGCCCGAACGTTGTGCTGAACATGCAGATATTGGACGTTGCATTGTCTAAAAGGATTCGGTGAAAGCCGGTGTTTGCATCAAAGCGCGAAAAATATTTGGCCCCTGCTAACTCAGCCTCAATATCTTCTCACTTTGGCATTTGATAATGTTCTCGCTTTAGACACTCATTGATGTTCCTAGGATCCATGCACAAACGCAGCTTTCAGTTTTTCTTTCTTATGATTACTAGAGGGCTCACCCAGCCTGCTGGCGCGTTGACCTTCTCTACGATGCCGCCTCTTTCCATCCGGTCGAGCTCATCTTGTAGTGGTCCTCGCAGTGCCAATGGTACGCGCTGCGCTGGCGTTACAACTGGTGCTGAATCCTTGCACAAAACCATGTGGTACTATTGATGCAAGCAGCCAGTTCCCTGAAATAAATCCGGGAATTCTTCGACAATGTCACTGGTGCCATCTTTTCTGACCATGTTTACGTTGCGCGACACCAGACCCCGAGTTTCCCTTGCGGCTAATCCCAGAATAGCGGGGCTGCTCTTTTTCACAACGAAAAAGGGGATGCTACACGACTGATCATTCGTCTCAACTTGCAGTGTTGCCACGCCGACGTGTTTGATAACACCTCTGCTGTAGGACCGAAGTACGGCACAGCTTAGGTAAAGCTTCAGGTCCCCCTTGCACCTTCGGTAAATAGAGTAAGGCAGCAGATTTGCCTGAGAGCCTGTGTCAACCTTAAGCACAACCTTTTCACTCGCAACCTGCGCTTTGACTGTCCAATCTTCCCTGCTGTTGACGTTGCAAATTTTTACATCCAAAACGCTGAAGTCATAGCTTTCTTTGTGAACCTCGTCTACTTGACATTTCGTGCAGCACCTAGCGAAGTGATTTCTTTCTTTACACACGAAGCAAGTTTTGCCAAAGGCTGGACACCTAGCACGCGCGTGAGAACGACTGCATTTGGCACAAACGTGCTGCTGCGATTTTTTAACTACATCTATCTGGTTGTATGCATGGGACCACGCTTCATTCTGTTGGGCGGATACTTCCGCAGCTTGACATGTTTGCCCTGCTTTGTCGAGAATAAAGTCCTTCTCCTTGAGCATTTTTTCGCGCAGATTGGCGTTGTTTGTGCCGAAGACTATCTGGTCCAGTATCAAAAATTCTGTCTAGGAATCGAAGTTGCAGCAGCGTGCCTGTCTCTTGAGGTCACGTAGAAAATGCTCAAAGGGTCCTAATGCGGAACAGATATCTCTCAAAAACCTCGTTTTCTGCTCTTGGCTATATTCATCGAACTTCTTCACAACTGTCTCGTAATCTTGCTTGCTTTCACTCTCAGAAAAATAGAAATTGTTGAATACCTCGAGTGCTTCGTCTCCCACAAAGCTCAGCAGGAGCGCGGTCTTGACAGCTGGAGTCCTGGGTTCCTTCGCTGGTGATGTTGCCTCCAAGAACAGCTCAAATTTCTGTTTGAATCTATCCCAGTTCTTTGCCGTGTTTCCGGATAGCAGCAAGGGTTCTGGTGCCTTGGGAAGTTCCATTGCTAATGCTCAATTTTGCCGGGTGGTCGTGGCTTCTAATTGCATAGACCGGCTACTGTTTGCAGCTTGTGGGCCGATTTCATCTACGTCGCGGAGCGACGCGACCACTTTTGACACCATGTATCAGATCTGTGACGAGTGGAAGCCAGTAACAAAAGACCTTTTATTCAAACAAGGAATGCGTATTTATAGTATGCAGCATGATAACCACGTGTGGTCATTATCTAAGATTAGTTTTGTTGACGGTGGTGCATGCGTGCGCATAACTTACAAGCATTGCTCGATCGATGCAGCTGAAGATTATCTAACTTCAATCACGCATGTCAAAAGTCATTTTTACAAGACCATGATACCTTCTTTCCTGCACAACAATCCTAAACAGTTCTGGAAAACCATTACACTTGAAGAAATGGAAAGTATTTCACTAATCGATTCTGATGATTGTCCCATTGCCAAAGAGGATGTCGCTATTGAACTAAACAATATGTTTTGCTCGGTTTTCGCCCGTGAATCCACTTAGCCGCTTCCTATTCGCCCTATGCACTCATGAATTGTATTACCTTTAGTCGAAGGGGCATTGTGCCTATCGACAACTTAAAAAACTTGTCAGCAGCTGGAACTGATGGTATCAATACCAAAGTGCTCAAAAACACCAAACATGTAACCAGTATCATATTATCGCTATTATTTCAGCAATAATTAGACTCAGGTTCAGTTCCAGAGGACTGGTGGATCGGGAAGGTCGTCCCTGTCTTCAAAAAAGGTAATCGGTCGTCTCCTAACAATTACCGTCCCATATGCATCACCAGTGTCTGTTGCAAAATAATGGAGCATATAGTGTACTCTGATATAGCGCATTTTTTGTCTACTAATAATTTTTTCCATCCTAATCAGTATGGTTTTCGTCCCAGCTATCCTTGTGAAACCCAACTAGCCCTTTTCTTGCATGAAATTCATTCTCACCTTAATAATAATATCCCCGTTAATGATTTCGAAAAAGCATTTGATAAGGTTTCCTATCGTCACTTACTGCTTAACCTTTCATTTTTGAACTTAGACCCCTCCATGCTGAACTGGATTCGCAAATTTCTAACCCATCGCCGACGGTTTGTTGTCGCTAACTCTTGCAAATCTCCCTTTTCTCCCGTTCATTCGGGCATTCCACAAGGTACTGTACTAGGTCCCCTCCTCTTTTCAAATTACATTAACCACTTGCCACGTAACATCACCTCTACTATCAGATTATTCACCGATGATTATGTGTTGTATCACCCTGTAAATAATGCCTCACATTCTTCCGTTTCACAGTCAGATCTTAACACTATACAGCAATGGTGTGAGGACTGGTTAATGTCATTAAATGTTAACAAAACTTTGCTAATGAGTTTTCATTATCGTAAAGATTAGATCGCTAACACTTACTTTCTACACAACTACCTCATAGCCACTACCAACACTACCAAATACCTAGGTGTTCATATCTCATCTGATCTGACATGGACTTTACACATCATTAGCAGCACTAACTCAGATAATCGAGTTCTTGAATACCTACGTTGTAACCTTGCTTCGGCACCTGCTGCTACTAGACTAATAGCTTATAAAACACTCATCAGGCCTAAACTGGAGTACGCTATTGCCATTTTTGATCCTCATCAAGCTAACCTTTCCACTATGCCCGAATCAATTGAGAACCGTGCTTTCAGATTTATTATCTCAAATTACTCAAATAACATAAGTGTGTCAGCTGTCAAACACCAGCCTAATCTTCCTCATCTTGCCTCTCGCCATAACATTTCACGCTTGTGCTTGTACCAGAAGTTTTTTCATTCCTTGCCATCAGGCAATGCATTCATCAGACCTGCACATCGGACATCACGAAATTATCACCCCAAAGCAGTCCTCCCGTATGCCCAAAAACAAAGACCTTTCAGAAGTCATTTTTGCTTCAGGCAGCACATGACTAGAATAACCTTTCTGCCCACATCACCATGTCATCTCAGTTCGATCAATTCAAAAACGCCTTAAAAAGCCATATTTTATCTTTCTAATTGTGATATACTGTTGTTTTTTTATATTTTGTTGTTGTTTGCCCCACTTTGCTTTCTTTCTTTTTTTCATCTGTTATGTTTTTCTTTTTTAGCCCACCCCTTATGTAGTACCCCTCGAGACTCTTGAGGTATGTGGAGGTGCGGACCCTCCCTGTAAAGTTCAGCAATAAAGTTTTGTTTTGTTTTTCACGATAATGAAATTCTCACAGTATCCAAAGCAGCTTTTAGTTTCTCCGTAGATCTTGCAATCGAGGTGTACACGCCTTTTTGCATAGCTCATTTAGTATTTGATTGGTGCACAAGAAGTGCATACAACACTAATGTGGTCGTGGCACACCAGCTGCAACGTAGAAGCTACAAAGAGCTCCTTTGGCACTGTGGGCAGAACCAAGCGCACATGTAATCCTCACTGTACCTGGCTACTCTAGGCCTAATAATACAATGCATTTCATGCAGTGAAGCCAAGCACAATCAAGTGAAATGTGTATCAACAAGTGGTCATCACTGTTACATGCATGCCCTCAGTGCCACATTTCTAAGATGTACATAGAAGCAGCTATTGTTCTGCCAGGCAGACAAGAAACAGCTGCACTGATACGCACGGCCGATTCATGTTGGCTGCTATCTGTCGAGTGCCCTGGGGCACGCTGACGATGCCCTCGACGAGGTGGTCGGACAGCAGAGTCTGCATGACATTGGCCATGCCCCCAACGGCTTTGCCAAAGCCGACCAGGTAGGCGTTGTGTGCCAGGGGCACCAGCTCGTTGTTCACACGCAGTGCATCACCCTCACGCTGCACTGCCTTGTTGACCAGTGCATGTGGGAGAACCTGCAAAAACATGCGCTCGCACAAGAAACAACGAGAAAAAAGCATGCCGAACGGTCTCATATCTTTCACAGCCACCTAACCTAATTATGGCATAGGCTGCACCGATACAGCTGGTAATGAAATGAAATGCCACGCTGGCCTAGGCTAGAAACTGGGTGAATGGTAAAATATTTTCACTCAGTGCTCCTCACAGGAGCATGTTTATCTCAGCAACACTTGAGAGTAAAATCCTGCTGGAAGCTCGGTCATGCAATCAGTTGACGACTTCCAGCAAGCGACACGCATTCAATTACCCGGGCGTTCTCAGAAAATTATTGCACTGTTTCTTGGCACTTGCTCTGCAACATGACCTCCGACACTGGCCACCTTTGACCAAGCAATGAAGCCATGTCACTAAAGAAATCACAAGGTTCTTCAATAACTGACTTCATCATGATGTCACAGCATGACCTCATAGGCCACATGGGTTTTTGCATACTTCATTCGCCTCCCTATTTTTTCTCCTTTGTCCTCCAGCACAGTAATGTTTACAAATATCCAATACACTTATTACTAAAAAATAAGCACCAGCCTATGCTTTTGTTGGTATAGCTATTCGGTATTTAACATTCACTCTATGAAACAGCTATAAAAATGAAACTACAACTTGTTTTGTTGGTGCTTCACTTTTGTCTGCCATATTCACTCATTTAAATTTTTAGGTGTACTTTTTAATGAGCACCTTAGTTGGACACCACAAATAAATAAAGTACACGCCAATATGTCTCGATCGATTTCGGTTTTAAATAAACTTAGGTCCCTAGTTCCAGACTGGTTAAAGCTCCAGCTAGTATATTATTCTTTGGTTCATTCCCATCTACATTATTGTCTTTTAATTTGGGGCACAACTTAAAAAACCAATCTTGACAGGCTGTTAGTTTTACAAAAAAAGGTCTCTACGCTACATAGAAAATCTGCAACGAGAACATACTCCTCCATTTTTTGCAAGCTTCAGATACTTACTGTCTACCAATTATACAATCTTAAACTCAGCTTATATGTCGTTAATCTAATAGGAAACACCGTTGGCACTTATATGGAGCATTGCTACCCAAGCGATACTCCCTATGAACTACGCTTTGATCTTTTTCGATTGCCTTTTTTCAGAACAACATATGGTAAGCAAACTTTATCATATCAAATACCTTATCTACTCCACGAAAATAGCTATGTCCATGAACTTTTGAAAGAACATAACAATAAAAACAGTGTGAAGAAGAAAGTTAAGATGTACTTCGTTCCTTGTAAGGAGCCTTAATTGTATTAATCATTATAAATATTTATTTTGTGTCATTCGTGCTTTTGCATATTAATTGAAAACTGCTCAATTTCTTTCTTTTCAAATGTATTTCTCTATGATACTTAGTAATTCTGTCAGAAATTTCTCCTTGTTGCATTTTTTATATATATATTTTGTATTGGTACTACAAATTGGTGATGACTGTAATGTGTTATTTTAAAACGTATGTATCAACATCTGTTATACTTGTTGAATTTGAATTTTGTGTCCCCTCATTCAAAAGCAGAATGAAATTTGTATCCTTTGTTCCACTTCACCTGAGCAAACTTATGGGTGGAGGGACCTTAGTCAGGCAGAGGTAATCTGCCTTTAGTCCTTTCAACCTAGGCAATCATTGTATTTGTCTGAATAAACAGTGATTGAATGAATGAATGAATTCTACCATGACCCTGTGCTTTTGTCACAAGGTGAGAAATACAATTATCTACAAGAACAAGCAAACTGATGACAAGATCAGCACATTACAGCAAGTATCTAACACGTATCCCCGTGAGCAGCAGATCAAGGTAGCTGAGGCTTTTAGTGCCGCTCCAAACAACAAAGTGCCCCTGCATGCTACCTGCTCGATGCCATGTTCAAGAAAGCTGCGAGCATGGCGGCGCAAGGCACTCATGCCTCCAGCTGGCATGGCGCCCAGTGGTTGGCTTCCGCCCGGCCTGGATGACATAGCAGCTGCCCACCTGACCTGCATCAAGCAAGACAAACTGCCACTAAACCTCTGTCGAGCAACACACAGCTACGAATAAAAACTAGAAGGGGGCACTGCCCTATCTCTGCGCTGCAGCGCCGCAGCCCCCCTGTCGGCTGCTCGGGCACCCACCAGGGGCTCTGCCGCCAGTTTCTCCTTAAAACTTCTCTTGCGATGTCCCTGGGGTACCCCTGGTTACGCTGTAGATCGGAAAGTATTAAAACGGGTTGGAGGCGGGGAGAGGGTCACCACAATGAAAAAAAAAAAAGATAAATATATGCGTATATGCATACAGAAAGAGTCCTTTTTTTTTCTTTTTTAAGCCAACTAAAGTAGTTCAGGTTGCAGTTACTATTCGTGCATGCCCATTAGCAACTGTCTCAAGCGCAGCCTGCTGCTGCATCTGGTCAGGAAGGACACGTTTTTTGCAGCCTATGGCGGTCGCCCACACAAAGCATGCAGAGGAATTTTTGGGGCAGCGTTTGACAACAAAAAGAGCTGGACCCATCAAGGATTGACGGCAGAGTCAAGTACGATAAAAAAAAGCAAGAAAACACGAGATTGACTGCAAAGCCATAATCATGCTTTGGTGAAGCTAGAGAACTCTATTACTAAAACATTACATCAGCCTTTTTATACATCAACCTTGGCTGATTCCAACTACGCTAGCCAGTTACCTATATTAAATGATAGAAAATTTGCTTTTCTGGGTGGTTTTGTGTTGGTTGTTACGCGGTTTAACCCTACTTTTTATGTTTTCTATATATATATTTTTTTACAATCATTGACCTTTAACTATATGCATAGATTCTTTCTTGTTGTGCGTGATAATAGCTTTTAGCGGAGTTGCACATTAACGATGCCTCTGTCTTCGGACACTGGATGCCTATTGATAAGCTTTTGAATTACATTGCATATGACTTACTGTCTTTTTTTTTTCATTTTTATGGTCAATTAGCAGATGTTCTTTCACATTGGCTGCATTAGTTCATTTTTTGATAATTAGTGACAATTTCTGCATCTTTAATCTATAATGAGATATAGCAAGCATTTCCACATACATACACAGGATATTGTGCAAATAAAATCAATTTCTCAGTGCATCACGTTGTCGAGAGTTTCCTTGTGTCCTGTTTTATTCATGGTGCTGGAGAGCTGGTGCAATTCTATGGTGTAGTAAAAGTATGTGTACACACGTTATGTATATTACTTGTTATGCACTCATTATAACTATGCATGAATATTTTTTTCAATAGATCCGTAAGTATAGCACTACATTCGCCTACATGTTCAAACGGTCTTTGAACTTTATTTCAACATTCGGGATGCTGAGGGCCGTGGTCAAAAAGCCTCTAATGGGCTTGACTGGGACCACGACCCCTTACAAATGGGCAGCATAGACAACACATTTATTGCAGTGACAATGTACAAAAATTTGAGCAAGCATAAAGCATAAAGTATAATAAGCATAAGCATAATAAAGCATAAGCATAATAAAGCATGAAGATTGAAAAGTAATAAACTCAAAGAAATGATCGTAGTTATTTCCTTACACATACGATATCAATAAGAGAGTGTAACGATGCAAGAAAAGAAGATCGCAAGATTAGCACCAAAGTAAAAAAAAAAAATATGGGGCATGTGCCCAATACGCTTACTAGACTTACAATCAGAACAGTCACTCAAATGGAAGACGATATGGCATTCAAGTGAAACGGCAGGAGGAAGCGCAGCATTTCTTTGCCGTAGTTAGTGCGCGTGCGCGGGATAAGCCATGTGTGATTGAAACGCGTGTTATAAAGAACTTTGCGGTGGTTTAGGTTGGCAATGGTTCCTAAAAGGTTGTCGCCTTTTAATCCTGCCTGGTAGCGTTTCACAAGCATTGCGCGGTAGTATTCACGTAGAGGTAGCAGCTTCATGTCGTGAAATATGGGAGTGGTGTGACTGCGATATGGAGCATTTGCAACGGCACGAACAGCCCTTTTCTGTATGACGTGCAGTTTGCGGATATTTGTTAGAGTTGTCATCCCCAAACCAGATGACAGTAGTTGACATGAGATAAAAACAGGGATTTATAGATGAGAAGTTTAACTGCCTTAGGTAGCGAGAAACGCACCCGGGATAATATGCCCGAAATCCTTGATATAGTGCCACATAGTTTTTCAGTGTGTGCGTTCCAAGACATGTGTTGATCGAAAATTATTCCCAGACACTTAATACGCTGTACTATCTCAAGTTCTGAACTGCCAAGTTTTAATGGGACACGACAAGGGGTTTGTTTATTTTTCGGCCTGAAATATACAGCTTTTGTTTTTGATGTGTTAAGTTTTAAACAGTTAACGCATGTCCACGTGGCCAACTTCGCCAGTACCTCATTTGCGTCATTAATTAAGTTTGTATAATTTTCAGCAGTAAGAAGCAAGGTTGTATCATCAGCGTATATAATACATTTTACAGACGTGTCAATTTTTACAACATCATTTATGTATACACAAAAAAGCAGAGGCCCTAATATGCTACCTTGTGGTACACCCGCTGAAATTTTTAGTAAATTGGAGGTACAATTGCCGACGACTACTTCCTGCAGCCGATACGTTAGGTATGATTCAATGAGTTGTAAGGAAACACCTCGAAATCCATAGTGTGCACATTTCTTTAGTAGCGTAATGTGATTTATTGTGTCGAACGCCTTTGAATAGTCTACGAAGATGCCTAAAGTCTTCCTTTTATGATCAAGATGTGCAAATATAAAGTTTGTTAATGTTACAATGTGGACACATTTATCACAATGCTGAGTGATTCCATGATTCTACCCATAAATGTTTCAGGAAAAAAAACGCATTAGGTAGGTTAGTTACAATTAGACTCGCTCATATGAGAAAGTAATAAAAAGAAAATGAGCCATTTTTATTTACATAGTGGAGCTCGAAAGGCGGAAGTAAAGTTGTTATTATCGCTACAGTGGTAAAAGAGCACTGAACATCGTATAAATCAGCAGGCAAAAAAAAAATGAACTTGAATGCTTCCAACTACACGCCTTGTTCCTGCAGCGGCTGTGTGGACTAGCATTCATCCACGCAAGAGCTCCTTAAAACATCACCCACCCTTCGTAAATCAGTCACAATGGCAGTAATTTATTTAAAACACAGAAAAGTTGCATACCCGCTGTGACTTTGACTTCTCTTACGCGCAAAACAGCAATGCGCATTAGATGCACCTTTCAACCCGACGAAAAGATTCAGGTAATGCTACAAGGTGGCAACACAAAGTGATCCGCCCCTCAGTGAGCACACTGCCTCCTTTTAGCAGACTGTATTGAAAGCTGTAGGCCTAACAAATGGAGTCATTTTTTTAGGATGCAAATAGTGCTAGTGTCAAGCTGAAGAGAGCATATTTCAACTAGCTGTCACATTTTCCACAATATAAAATCATTTAAAATTTTCTTATTGGAAAAAAAAAAGTTATACCAAAACGTAACAGATTCGTTGCATATTCAGACTGTATTGCAGACAAGGTTCAAGTGACATAGCCTTGGTGCGTAGGTTGTCAATTCTTTATGCCTATACGCAATGTGCCTGCAGGCATAACATATATAGGTGTAAGTAAGGCACAATATGCAGCAGAAATATTGTACATTTGCATTAATATGCTGGGTGCAGTCAACATTCTGGTATATTTTTAACTATACTGCATATCTGTACCTACTATGCATGACTCAATTTAAACAATGAATCACAAAAAATACTATATTCTATTTGATATTCTCAGTTTTAAATATTTGCACAACCTTGGAAGATTGTGAAGGACATAGTATACTAATTGACTTACAGATTAACTAATTATTCAATCAATCAAAATCTTGTAGAGGGTAAAAAAACGGATTCTTATGAGAGGAGAACATGCGAGGGTTTCTTTGAATATGCTAATAAATGTGTGCTAATAAGGCTCTACATAGTATAACAGTCTAATGAGGGTCTATAAATGGCTAATAATCATCTACATTGATACGAAGGTATAACCTGGGCCTCGCTAACATGCATACAGTGGTTGTCAAATAAGCATTTATACTGCCACACTATGGACGAGAAGCAAACATAGAACCTATAGTTTGCTTCCCGACTGCCACAGTTGAAGAAACACCCCAGTAAGCCCACACCATAATGCTTATACAGTTCAATTTTGGGCAAGCCCAGTTTTTCGTAGGGACCATCTATGCTCAATCAGCCATTGGCTTGACTTGTCCATGCGTGCGCAAGCAATCGCACTGAAAAAGCTCGTACTCAAAGAAGAAGAAAAAAGCGAAAAAGTGCTCAAGGTCACGAGGCATGCGTGACATAATTTCTTTCTCCGTGCCATTCCTCTCTCCACAGCTTCCAGCGCTTTCAATGGGAAGAGAGAATGCGATTGCAGCGTGCAACCAATCTCTGTTATTCTGCTCGTACTTGACGGATTCTTAAAACTTTTGGAGCGTTGAATTCGTGAGGCAATAAGTTCCTTTAGTGAATACATTCCATGACTACTCTAGTGAACCAAAACGATTTCAAGTAGCACGAAACTCTAACCAAGGAGCACAGTTTGAGTGCCTCTCATGTTCTGCACCGATTCATCAAATTCGTTTATACTAAGATTGACAAATTTCCCAAAACATATAGAAGAACTCATAGGAAAACAAGGTCACTGTAGCACTTTCACAGCAATATATATTCAGACAATACAAATGCAAGAATAAATACTTCAATGCAAACTCTCGCTTTTATCAACATTTTTGTAAGAGAGTTCATTTACAGCAAACTGTGTTGTGTGTCTTCGTTTTGTGTCCCCGATCATTCAGCGCTACTTCTCTCAGCATCAACACGCACCAACAAGCCCTAATTTCAACAGTGCTAATAATCAAAGAGCATTAGACAAGTGCGCAACTTTCAATGAAAGTCTCAAGAAAGAAAAAAAAGGGGTAAGTGCACCATAAAATTTTTTGCCCCTTTTCATGAATGCTGGCC